TTCACCTTATTCTATTTAAATTCATTATATGCAAAACTAGTTAGTCCTTACTAGGAGCAATGTATGGTGCTGGGAATTCTCATGGATAAGCAATATGAAAAAAAGTAGATAAAGTGATATATATAATTTCCACCTTTTATAGATTCACAATCAAAGTGTTTCTCATTTCCAATAGATGAAATAATAACTGTATGCCACACACATAGGTGTTTATACATAAATACAGGTGTCTACACACATGTATGTCTACATACATATATGTGCATATATGGGTTTCCCAGGTGGCTCAGTGGTAAAGAATCTCCCTGCCAATGTAGGAGACATGGGTTCAATCCCTGGGTGGGGAAAATGCCCTGGAGAAGGAAAGGGCAACCCATTCCAGTATTTTTGCTGAGAAATTACATGGACAGAGGAGCCTGGTGGGCTATATAGTCCATGGGGTCACAAAAGACTTGGACACGACTGTGACTAGACAATGACAACATGTGCAATATATGTATATATATATTTGAGGTATTTGTATCACAGATATTAAGTATATATTGAAAGGAGATGAAGAATATAAAAATAAGTAATTAGCGTGGAGTTCAGAAAGATAAATCAAAAAAATTATGTGAGATTGTATTCTTCTTAAAAGAAATTAAAATGTTTCAAAGACTATTAAGTTTTACATCTCCAAATTATTACAGGACAGATTTATGACTTTAGCCCTGTTTTTCAAAGTGTCCATAAAAAGAAATTAGACACTAGTATTCAGATATATAAACCATTTTTTATTCTATGATGTATCCCTACAATCATGAAAGTAATCCTATCATTAATAATAATGATAAATAATAACAATCATTGGTGTGGGATGTTTACAAATCATACACAGCAGAAAAGCATAAATGCAGATTTCATTTTAGTGTTGTTGAAATGTTACCTTTTTTTTACCTGTTTAGTATTTTTCTTAGTATTCTAAACTCACAATTTGTTATCAAACCAACTTCACAGCAGACCGGACATGACTAGTTCATAACTTTGTTGAATATTTTCCAGATGTACTGGAGGACATCATCGCCAGTTTTGCAAGGGTATCTTGTTGGTCAGAAGTCTTTTGTTTAACAAACTCAGCTTGGGTGTTTATTCTAAGAGTCTAACTAAACATAGAGGACAATTGCTAATCAGTGAATTCTTAAGGCTGCTTTCATTTCATCCTCCTTACACAATAGTCTTTGCTTGTTTCAGTTTTGTGTGTTTCCCTTTGATTGCTTGTTAATACCTTTTCTATAGTGATAGTATGTGAAAGTAGCATCTAATCTCTGAATTAGTATATAATTGTTGATCATCACTATAATTGTGCAGATAGTGGAATATACTTGGAATCACTAGTAGTGAATTTGCCGTGAAGCTAAGGAAGTTTCAGGGCCTTGGATTTCCTTTAATAGTGTTGGATCTAAATTTGTAGTTTTAATTTCTAAAAAACTCTCTCAAATCTTAAGAGCTTCAGGTCTTAGAAAACTTATCTGGCTCTGCTTTTCATCTGTATTGTAATAATTAATTTGTTTTTATGCCTTTCTTATATCGTTTTGGCTTTATGAAAATGGGTCATTTTTTTTTTCTGTCTACTATCTGGCATTTAGTTCAGTAAATGCTTTGTGAATTAGTGACTAAGTCATGTGCCTTTACTATTACATTTGGAAAATGTTTAACAAAATTATTAACTCATCATATTCTATCTGCTGTGAAGTCAATCTGATAAAAAAAATTTTGATTTAAAATTCTAAGAAAAACCCTAAAAAGGTAACGTTCAAACAACACTAAAATGTGTGTGGTAAGGGAGATTTTTTTTTTTTGTATTCATGCATCTTTATGAATAAATATTTTGTTGCAAAGTTTAAAAAATAATAAATTATCTTGTTAGTTACGTTTTAAAGTTCAAAATGTCTATTTGCAGAATTTTAAATAAGATGCCCATACTGTCAATATGTACAACAATATTTTGCAAAAATGTAAAATATGGTCACATGTTAATGTACTTTCATTCTTCTTTTTTTCTTTGCAATATTTTCTTGAAGTATTTTCCAAATGGGAATGAATGAGAGAAAAGGTATATTTGACCAGTTTCATAGAGTCTAAGAGTGCTTCTAATAGCTAAAACATAGCCAAAGAAAAGTGTTAAGGCTTATGATAGCATTTATTTCAAGCTGTCACTTACTATAACATCTGCATTTTGTCTTTATTTCTCAAGTTGCTTATTTATAAATCTCCACTCTATTTTTCAGGAGTTGACATATGTTGACAGGCTAACAATATATTACCTGAGAACTGATATACCCTGTATAATGTATCCTCTAAGAGCTGAACAATACATAATAAGTTAACAAACTTACACTATGAAGACAAGTCATTGTTTCTAAAGGGAGGTTCATATTTTGATTTTCAAGAAAGGAAAAATATTTCCCTCCTTTCTCCATCCTGTTCTGATCATTTCCAAAGTTTTATAAAAATGTAAATCAACAAAAAATTCATCTGCTACTTCCTAACCACAGAGGTGAATAATTTAAGAATCACCTCACTGGGTTTTCTACTAGCTTCCTATTTTATTTGGAAAGATCTGAAACTTCATTTTTTAATTCCAAAATACATATCTGCTTTATATCCTTCAATTGTAAAATGATGGTACATCTGCTAATCTGTAGCCATCAAATACTAAGCACTTACAATGTCTCCAATCCTGGAGGAAAAGTTTCCTTTTTGAAAGGATTCCCCTTTTCTGAGCTTTGCTGTTTCCTGTTGGTTAAGTAGTGGCCCGCCCTGGGAAAGCAGAGTTATTTCAGCCATCATTCACTTTCAGTTTACATTAGACTCTGTGGAATATTATAGTGCTATTCAGTATTCATAATCTCGCAGACTTTGCTGTTTCTATGGCCCAGTATAATTTATATGTGGTGTTTGTTGGAAGGTTATCAGAAGCTATTTGAACATAACATTTTTCACAATAAATAATGATGGCACTACTGTTAAAATATCTTTTATTAACTTAACCCACCCAGTAGAATTGGTGTTTAAAACAATGCAAATTAAAGGAGAAAAAAAACATTCTCAATTTGGGACAGCTTTTAAGTAAATGTCCCCCGTCGCTTACACAGCAAGAAGGCCCCCAGATTTCATCTTTATTTGAAGGGAGACATTTAAAAAAATACACTAAGAAGGTTGTATGTAGGTAATGGTTCACTTAGCATTCATCCCAGAGGATGGAAAATCAGGAGCCAATCCCTTTTAAAGAGGAGGAAGTAAATTTCACATAGGGATGGTTGGTACTCACCTCTTACAGACAACAACACGTGAGCCTGTCACTGCACATGAACGTTCTAACTTAGCCACAGCTGTCATCTGAACTAGGAGAACGTTTTCTTTACTTGATTCGGGATCATTCCGCCCTGCGGATCACCCCGACCTCTCACTGCTGTCCTTCGCGGCAGGGTGCTAACGTTCTCCGGATTTCACTGCTCTTTAGAATTCTCCACCAGAGGGAGGACAAGGGAAGCGAAGCAGGTTTCACCGCAGTTCTGAGGGAAGTTTGAATCCCAGAAAACTAGCAGGATCTCTGGTCTGTCTTTGCACTCCACTCCCCTGTACTCTTTCACAGCAGAACGGAGGGACTCCAGCTAGCTCGGTAATTTTATCGCGGACTGCTTTTCAACCAGGGTTTATTAGTTAACTTACAACTTAAATAATTAAGTTACGGTGAGAGACACTTAGGGAGACCCCCTTTGCAGAGAACAGGTTATTATTCTTTTAGGAAAAGCTGAAGATGAGAATTCTGGCAGGCACGTTGCTAAACGCAGGAAAGCAGGACACAGACTCAACCAAGGAGCAGTTGAACGACCTTGGAGTCCTCTAACCATCCTCACGGTTCCCTGAGTCCTTCTTCTACCCACATCTGCCTTACTCCGTCCCCTTTCCCCCCAGGAGTTTCTCTTTGCCCTGCGTGCATGTAGGGTTTTCCACGAAAGTCAGAAAGGACCGAAAGCCAAACTCCAAGGGGAAAAACAGCGACCGTTCCTTTCCTTCCCACGGGTTCTAAGCCTTAATTTGGCGGGCAGGTGTCAGAGCGGCAAACTTTGGACTCCAGTAATTTTCTCTGCTTTGCAGGGCAGGGACCAGCCCTCCGGGGCGCTGCCTGGCGGGGAAGGGGCGCGAGGAACGGGAGCGCCGGCGTCCCTTCCCGGGTCTCAAGCTCTCCCGGGGCCGCGCGCCCCGGTTCCTGCGGGCGCCGCCGCGGCGGCTGCGCGCAGCTTCCAGCGACCCCTGTCGGGGGTGCCCGGCAGCCGCCCCGCGCGCCGCCCCCCGCCCGGCCGGGCTCGGGGAGGGAAAGGGGCTGCGCCCGGGAGCGCCGAGCCCAGGCTCCTCCCGGTGGCGTGTCCGCGCCTCGGGGTGGGGGTGTGGTGGGGACGAGGGAGGGGGCGAGGCCAGGGGAGGGCGAGAAGGAGGCGCCAGCGTCCAACCTGCGGGTGGGTGGCGGTGGGGCAATTGAAAAAGAGCCGGCGAGGAGTTTCCCCCCCCAACTTGTCGGAACTCTGGGCTCGCGCGCAGGGCAGGAGCGGAGCGGCGGCGGCTGCCCGGGTGATGCGAGCGCGGGCCGGACGGTAATCGCCTCTACCTCCTCGGGCTGCGAGAGCGCCGGACCGAGGCCGCGACAGGAGCGGACCGCGGCGGGAACCGAGGACTGCCCAGCGGCGCGCCAGCAGGAGCCACCCCGCGAGCGCGCACGACCGCCGGACGGAGCGCCCGCCAGTCCCAGGTGGCCCGGACCGCACGTCGCGTCCCCGCGCTCCCCGTCGGCCACAGGAGACGCTCCCCCCCGCGCCGCGCGCGCCTCGGCCCGGCCGCTGGCCCGCCTCCACTCCCGGGACAAACTTTTCTCGAAGCCGATCCCAGCCCTCGGACCCAAACTTGTCGCGCGTCGCCTTCGCCGGGAGCCGTCCGCGCCGAGCGTACACTTCTCGGACGAGATGTCGGAGCGCAGAGAAGGCAGAGGCAAGGGGAAGGGCGGCAAGAAGGACCGAGGCTCCGGGAAGAAGCCCGCGCCCGCGGCGGGCGGCCCGAGCCCAGGTGAGTGCGCCGCGCGGCCGGGGCTCCGCAAGCCTGCTCCTCCTTTTTTCCTCCTCCTCTTTCTCGGCTGCCGTCGCCTCTCCCTCGCCTGCCCGCGCGCCCTGCGCACCCGGCGCTGGCTCTGCTCCCGGGCGTCCGCAGGGCCGGGCGGTGCTCGCCCCTCCCTGGGGCCGCCCCTCACCTGGGCGCCGAGCCCCACCCGGGCGTCCGCGCCCCGCGCGCCGGGTGAGGGCGGCAGCCGGGCCCGCGCCCCGGGAGGATCCGGACGCGCCGCGCTCCCTGGCACGGCCTTTGCCCAGCGCCGCAGAGCCGAGCCTCAGCGGGAGCCGGACCTGGCGTGCCGGAGCCGAGGCCGGGTGCGCGCTGGTCCCGCGCCAGTCGCGCTTTGCACGGGTCCCGCCTGCCCTCTAGCGAGAAAAGCGGGAACGGATGTCCCCCCTTCCGAGAGCCTGGCTCGGAAGAAGGGGTGCGCTAGAGAGAGGCCACGCGAGCGCTCGCGCAGTGGTGTTTTGGGATCCGGGGAAGGAGTGCAGGGTCCGGGTGTGAGCGGACGTTCACCCGCCTTCAGCCCTGCGGTACTGGTGTTCGGATCAGCGGAGAGAGATTCCTAGAGGTCAGCGAAGCAGATCAAACCCAGCCCAGCGCCAGGACTCAGGTCCACTCCAAAAAGGTTCTCAAACTTTCGGCTTTGCAGTTCTATTTCTCGGGGCCTCTTTGATCAATACGGTTAATTTATGTTCCCAAGAGATGCCCATAAGGCAAAAGTTCACCTAAACTTTTGAACCCAGTTGCTCGCTGGTTGTAATAGAAAAGGAAATGCAGTTCAGACTTTGTAGGGAAAAGTACTGTTGGGTCTTCAGAACACGGGCGTGAGTGACAGTTTCACCGTCTGTTTCACTGAGAAGGGCCGATGCTGTAGACACTACCCACTACCTTGGACATAGGAGGTATTCCAAATAGATACTAGCTTATGAGTGATTCAGTGAAGATGCTAAAAAAAAGGGGGGGGGGAGAATATACGGGCTTTTTTCTGCTTCTGGGATTCTCAATTCTTAATCGATCCAGATACCGTAAGTCACGTAGAACATGCCCCAGCACAGTTTATAAAACACTTCTGAGGAATTAATTCAATAGCGCTTGGTAGTACCGTGACTGAGAAAGATAACAGAGGTATTTGCCTGTTCCTTGCAGGAAGAAAACAAGATTTGCCTAGTCCTCTTATTGGCATCACTGAGAGCATTTCAGAGCCGGGCTTATTGGCAGAGACCTTAAGCAGGTTTTGAGCAAAACAAATTGAACAGAGAGTAATTGTTTGGCCACTGACCGACCTTTTCTGCGCCTGCTTCTATGATAAGATACTGCTGATCAGCTTCACCATCGTTACCTTGCATTAGTCCTTAGGAGGGTGTAATTGAAATTTTCCTTACCTCCCTCTATTTTGGAGATCCCTATCGCGTTTTATTCAACCAGGGCTGAAATGGGGGAGCTGGATTAGCAACCTCCCTAAGTGACATTCTCTACTGCCCTTTCATAGGCCAGCCTAGTGAGTGAAAGAACTCTTAGACCTGACCACAATGGGAAAGTTAAGAAATTTTTGCGGGGCTCTTTTAAGTGCTGTCCTGTCCTGCCTGGGAAGACTCCACCTTCAGAAGTTTCTAGGATCCTCTGGAGGTGGTCTGATGAATTAAGGAGGGGATGGTGTTTTGAAGGAGCATTTGTTTCAGTCTGCACTTTGTCAAGGCTTCAGGGCAGCAGTGCCTTAGTTAACATAGGCATTTCAGATAAGCACCCCTGGAGATGGGAGAGATTTTAAGAGCCAGCAGGCATTTCTGTGCCCTGCAGATCTCCTCTATTAGGTAGGCAGCTGTGTGGGGACCATGTAATGTTATCTCCTGGCACAGGGTCCCAGAGCATCCTTGGCGACCCTCATTATGCTGTGCAGTCCCATCGCTGTAATCCCCTTTGAACCCGATAGATTGGCATCTTTAAGTGACATTCTCTTTATTTTTTAAACTTTATTTTGTATTGGGGTATAGCCGATTAGCAATGTTGTGATGGTTCCAGGAGAAGAGCGAAGGGACTCAGCCATACATGCACATGTATCCATTCTCCCCTGAACTCCCCTCCAATCCAGCCTGCCAAGTAACTGGGCAGAGTTCCCTGTGCTATACAGAAGCACAGGTCCTTGTTGGTTATCCATTTTAAACATAGCAGTCTGCCCTTGCCCATCCCAAACAAATGAATTTATTTACAAGACAGAAAGAGACCCACAGACTTAGAGAAGAAACTTATGGTTGCCCCACCCCCCAACCCTGCGGCAGCGGTGGGGTGGGTGGGTGGGGGTTGGGGAGAATGAGGGGAAGAGATAGTTAAGTGATGTTTTCTTTACTATCTTCCCAGAGAACCTGGGGTGAACTTGGCTCTAGGTTAGCTTTTGGTGTCTTTGTCTCTTTTCCATCGAGTGGGTTGTCTTCTTTGGGGAGTAACATTTTACCCCTCCTCCAAGGCCCCTTGTGCTTGTGAAACCCTAAAAACCAGATAAGAATATTTATTCTTCATTGGATTCAAAAAGAGCCATCCGCTGAAAACCTGCTTTAGGTGACAGCACATGGCATTAAATAGTACTGCTTGGAAATCACTGTTTGTTCCTTCTTGTCCTTTCCCTTGTAATGTTGTCAGTACTTTCCCTTATCTTAGGAGAATAAATAAGTGAGAGCCACAGTGGTTTGCGAGAGAAAAACACACACCTCTTTGTCAAGGATTTTTGCACTCTTTAGTCTTCAGGCATCCTCAAAGGAAATGACCTCTAGAGGCCATGATTATAGCATTGCCACTTGGCATACCAGCTCGAATTAGGGCTTACAAGGACACCCGTCTCTTAAATAGCTCCCCCATCACTGTCCTTCAATCCCAAGTTTCACCTCTTTCTTAAAACAACCGCTGGAACTTTCTATCCCCTATGACGCCTATGCAACGGCCAGGCCTCCCTTTGGATGTTATAACATTACTTCACGACAGTCAAGGGAGAGATAAGACTGAGAGAACTCAGCCCCTCGGCCCTGCTGTGTGCCGTATTATATGCAGAGGCATAAACACATCTGTTGGAGGGATCGTTTCGGGGGCGGGGGAAAGGTTTCTTTAACTTGCATGCGACATGTGTGCCTGATACGTGATACATACGTAGCTATGTTTCATAGCATCGCATTTTTCTGCAATGAACTGAATCTTGAATTGCACACTATTGGGGCTGCGATGCCCAGCAGCATTATCTCTGCTCCAGTAATGGCTCAAATAGGTCCCAAGCCCTTGGGGTCATTGATTCTTCTTCTTGGCTCAAAAAAAAAGCAACCTCAGCATCCTCCTGGGCTTTGTAACTCGGATCCATGTACCAAGAGCCCTGTAGCTTCCCGCACCTCTCGCATGGACTTCCCTTGTCCAGGCTGTTCATCTTGATTCAGCTCAACAGACTTTGCCTGTCAAAGCCTAAATTGCAAACTCAGAGCTTCACCCTCCTCCCCAGATTTGGTGTCTGGCTCGAAGCTCCTCTTATGAACCTCTGCTTGCTGATGTTTTTGTTTCTTTAAAACACTGCAAAGGATTCTTATTTTCCTCTTAAATGACCTGAAACAAGCCTAGCTCAGTTCTAGAACTACTAGGTCTCCCTTCATCTCTGGCATCAGGGGTCATTTGTAAGTACAAGTGGTGGATGCATGAAGACACTTAATATCCCAAATGAGTAGAAGCCAGCCAGGTGCTCCCCCGGGGATATCACCCACCTGTTTTGTTAATTCAGTGTCTCCCCAGGCTGAAGTGCTTGTCAACATTCTTGGGTATAAAGTGCGCCGTCCCAACTAGGGCAGCGCGTGTTTACAGAACAGAAAGAATGCCCCACGATCTGTTTTCAGCCTGCTGGCTTGTAACCACTTAGATTATGTAATTACGAAATGCATTAAATGTTCATTTTAGAATGAAGTTGGGTTTATTTTGGAGAACTGTTTTAAAGCAGAAAGAGTGGGAGAAACTTGAGATACTGTTCTGCTAACTGCAAAATGAGAGAAGGATACTGATGGAAAAATGGGGAGAAAAGAAACACAAAATATGTGATTAGAAAATATTGAACCAGTGTGAAAGCAGCGAACAGGTTATTACATGCCAGGCACTAGGCTGGACACTTTTATACTTATTAGTAAGGGAGCTGCTCTTCATTAACTATCCTACCATGTTCCAGGCAGTGTAACAGATATTTGTGTGTTTTGTCACCTGTCCTTTAGTACAAAATTCCCTCACTATTACAGGATACCTAGTCCTTAGCACTACAGCTGGATTGCCTGGGTTTAAATCCTAGTTCTGCTGCTCTTTACTTGTATAGTCATGGTCAAGTTGCTTAATCTTGCCATGCCCGTTTCCTTATTTGTAAAATCGGGATCATGATCATGTTATCGTAGAGTTGTTCTGAGGCTTAAACAAGATAACAGCAGTATAAGTGCCCCATCAATATCCAAAGCATCTATGCCTTTGTCAAGATATTTGATTAAAATTTTCCAAATTCACCTTTTATGGTAAAAAAAACAATCCACAGCTGGCCTTAGATCAGAGTGAGTATAAATATTAATATCTACTACCTGTAAATAGAGAGCAAAGTGGATAAGTATGTCAAATACCATCAGTGCATATATGTATTATGAAAACAGTCCTGAATGGAGTCTAAATATTGAAAGTAGAGTGAGGTGCAACATCATTTTATCTCTGGCTGAAAAAGGTTGAGGTTTCAAGTTCAAGAAGGTTTTGAAACACGAGTCCTTTTCTGATCACACTGAAGAGTCTGCTTATATAGAATGCATGTGTAGTCTTCTCTTTGGGGACTAGTACGAATTGAAAAGGAAACTGTGTGTCAACATGCTCTTGGTTATCTTTTAATCAAGTGTAACGGTATGTTGCCAGCAAGGTTCCTAGAATCTAGTGCAGGTATTTCTAAATATAAACAAAATAATGAATATTAA